TACGGGAACCAGACGACTCCGGGCCCCATCTCTCTCCAGAGACGAACTTTGTGACATGAACTCCTCTGCCGTGTGTGCGAAAGCCAGACGGCCCTGGGCCCCATCCCCCTCCAGAGACGAACTTTTCAGTTTGAACTTGTCGGCTTCTACATGCTTGTGAGCCATTTATCTAAGATAAATTTCTCTTTCTCTCTCTATAAATATTTATATATATATACTTTGCTGGTTTTTGTGTTTCTCTAGAGAACCCAATCCAACACACAGAGCAAATTCACTTTCCATACAGCAGCTCACATACACTTGTCTCATGACATTGACTGCAATTTCCCACAATGCAACAGTTCCCCTTCCACTTCCTCCCCATAGTTAACCTCTTCCCTGTGTCCTTCCTTCCATGCACTCCTGCCCCCTGAGCTGTCTCCCTGTGATTACACAGCCCTTCTATTATCCCATGATTGTTCTCTGCAAGGAGTGTATCTACCTAATGTAAATGTTCAGCTCATGTATCTCTCTTTTGTTTGGCTGGAAGCCACAGGAGTGGGTTCAATTCCAGACCTGAAGGGCAGCTAGGGGCCATAGTCTCAGTGGTTCTGTCAGACTCTATCAGACCAGCAAACCTAGGTTACCCCCCACCCTTTTAATAATTTTGAGTTTTGTTCCACATTGTTCTCCCTCTCTATGAAGGATCTCCTACATAGATTCCCCTCCAAGTAGTTGACAGTGGTAGCTAGGAACCATCTAGTTCTTCTGGTCTCATAGTCGTATAGGTGGAGGATCTCATGATGTACCAGTCTCTTGGACTAATTGTTTCCATTTGTCTTGGTTTTCTTCTTTCTTCTTTGCTCTGGATGAAGAGAGACCCATAGTTGCATCTAGATAGCTGCTTGCAAGCTTTTAAGATCCCAGTTGTTACTCACCAAAGCAGGAGGTGGAACAATATTTTTGTGTTGTAAGTTATGCCAGTTGAGCTTGTTGTACCTTGCGCCTATGGCCCCGAGTCAAGGCAAGCATTCTTCACTAAATAAACTACACTATTGTTTGCTTTAAAGGAAACTTTAGGGGATATTTTTGGTTTGGGTTAAAGTTATAAAGATTATCTTTGTTGTTGTTATTATGTGCCATCAAGTCGGACCTGACTCATAGCGACCCCTCCTTGGGTTTCTGAGGCAATATCACTGCGGAAGTAGATTGCCCTATCTTCCTTCTGAGGAGTGGCTGGTGGGTTTGAACCGCCAGCCTTCTGGTTAGCAGTCAAAGGCCTTAGGCACTATGCTACCAGAGCTCCCAAAGATTATCTTAGTGTAATAGTTTCTAGGGTTCATCCAGCCTCAGTGGCTCCAGAACATGTGGATTCCATGAGAATTATAAATCTGTTCAATATTTCTCCCCCTTTTGATCAGGACTTGTCTATAGAATCCTTGATTGAAACATTCAGTAATGAAAGAAGAGTAGCTGCTGAAGCTGCTTATGTGGAACCAAACACCTCACAGAATTTGGTTCTTTGGTTTGGAAGTTTAGCATCCTGTCTTCATGGAACATCCCAGTTAATTGGCCTAATAACATTTTCAGTGGTTCTGTTTTACCTATCACTTCATTGCATAGTCCTCGGGGTCTTTAAAGCAGCCATCCAAGACAGAACAATTGGTCTGTATTCGCCTGAAGGAACAGAGTCAGGAATAGGAGGACAATTTAGAATGTGTGGCTAATTGCCTCCATGAACAACTCCCTCCTTTGCCATAAGACCAGAATAACTGGATGCTGCCCAGCTACCATTACTGAAAATTTTGAGCCAACATTCTAACCGCCGTAAGCCCTGACACTCCTGTCGCCCGTGTCCCCTTTCAGAGACCTCCCCGCTGCGGATGTGTGAGCAGCCCCTCCAGTGTGAGATTTCCCACCAGCTGGGAAAGGACCCCGTGCGCTATGACCTCACTGGTTGGATCCACAAAGCCAAGCCGAACCTCGCAGCCCTGGATGCCCCCCAGGTCCTGCATCAGTCAAAAAGGTGAGCCAGGCCTGGGCTGGGGACGGGCAGGGGCGAACAAGCCACTGTGGTCCCTCCCCTGCGGGGCCCCCTCCTTGCTGGTCCTACGTGGTCATACCAACCCAGTGCGTGAGGGCCGGCCAGGAACGCCATCCCTCTGTAATGAAACAAAGAAATGTAACTTGAATTGTGTGATGAAATGTCTCCCTGGGGCCAGAGTGAATGCACCGAAGAGCCGAGTGCTCTAGGAGGTGGAACAAAAGCGAAAGTGCTCGGGCTTCTCCTTTTGGCTCTTGCCTTTCATTAAGTCTGAGAGATGATGTGGCTGGAACAACTTTTATGGACATCCGAGAACTTAGGTTAGGGGTCATAAAACTGAAATGATACGTTTTGTGGCATTAAAAATAATAATAATAATAAAATAAAGCTCATCCTGCTCCCTGCCTGCTCTTCCCCAAAGGGCTGGGAGCCATCCCTGGTTTCAGTTCAGAGAATTATTGAAAAATGTTTGTCTAGGTTGTGTGTACTTGCGTGCGTGTGTGTGTGTGTGTATATGCGTGCGTGCATGCAGCGGTCCTCCCAAGTTAGGTCCGGCCTCCTGCAGGGGCTCAGCATGGAGACAAGAAGAGAAGCACAGGCCACCAGGGAGGGGCCGGGGGTATAGGCGTTGGGGGTGAGAAACAACATTACCGGTCACCCTCCATGTGCCTGGAATGGCCAGGCATTCAGTCTTCATGATCTTGTAGCTGTGGGAGCTGTCTATTCTGCCTGCCAGGCATATATTCTGGCAGGAAACGTCTATTAGGAGCTCTGGTAGCATAGTGCCTAAGGCACTTGACTGCTAACCAGAAGGCTGGCGGTTCAAACCCACCAGCTACTCCTCGGAAGGAAGATGGGGCAATCTACTTCCGTAGTGATACCGCCTCAGAAACCCAAGGAGGGGTCGCTGAGTCGGGTCTGACTCGATGGCACACAACAACAACATGGACTCTACTTGTTGTGAGGATGCTGTTGTTAGCCGCGTCAGGTTGGCTCTGACTCACGGCGGCGTTATGAACAAAGCACTGCCCGGCTCGGCACCGTCATCCCAGTCACTGGTCTGCTTGAGTGCTTTGTTGTGGTCACTGTATTGGGAGTGCCTTGCAACACGGAGGGCTCATGTCCAAGCACCGTATCAGTGTTCTCTTGTGCTCCATAGGGTTTTCACTGGCTATTTTCAGAAGTAGATTGCCAGCCCTTTCCTCCTAGTCTGTCTGTTTCTGGAAGCTCCGCTGAAACCTGTCCGCCATGGGTGACCCTGCTGGTATTTGAAGTACTGGTGGCATAGCTTCTGGTTTCATAGCCACACGCAAGACACCACGGCACAACACGCTGACACATGGGCAGTGGGCTGTAAGGATAGTGTTCTGGTTCCCTTGTGCCGCTCTGACAAGAATACACCACAAATGGGATGGCCTTAACAAACAGGAGTTTATTCTTACAATTTGGAGGCTTTAAGTCCAAGTTCAAAGTGCCAGGCTGTAGGGGCTGTGTGAAAGCCCCTCAACCTTGGGGTCCCGGCCCACTGGAGCTAGAGGCGTTTCTTCACTCAGACAGCCACTGGCTGCTGAGGCTGAGAAGCCCCAAGGTTGACAAGTAAAAAGGCACAGTCCCGATGTTACCAGACCACACAGCAGGCCATTAGCTTAAGTCCATTGTAAGTCCCAAGGTTGGCAGAGCATAGCAGGGTGCTGAGCTACGACACGGCTACACGCAGGGTCCAAGCGTGCCATAGGCGAGAGACCATTCCCAAAGCTTCTCCTTATGTACAGGAAGCAGACCATATCCCAAAGGCAACTACTCAGCTGCTTGTGGTAGATACCACCATGGAGTTGATTGTCAGTCTCCTCATGGGGAATACTACCACCAGCTGCCCAGCCACTCAACCAGGCCCAGCCAAGCTGACACACAAACTGAATGACCACAGATAGCAAAGAAGATTTGGGCCTGTCTGAGTAGGACTGCTGCAGGTGTTTACATGACAAGAACATCCGGTAGGAGGAAAGATGCACTAAGGTTAAGGGGGGGAGGGGGCATCTGCAGGTGGAAAAGAGACATTGAAGGAAGGAGCTGGCATTTGTTGGGAAGCAGACGTGTCTGGCAGAGGGGTTCGTGAATATGGGATAGCGGCTGGGACGTGTAAGTAGAAAGGAGGGCTCGGCAAGCAGGTTGGCCCATTCCCTTTGCCTCTACCCAGAGAGATGCCCCTCTTCCAGTCTCCCAGAGCCCTCTCTCCTTCCTCTTCTGTCAGGGAGGAGCTGCAGCACCTGTTCCAGTCCCGGCTCAAGCTGCCCCCCATCTGCCGGGCTGTGGCAGGTCTGGAGGGCACCTCCCAGCAGGCATTGCAGCGGATCCGCGCGGTGAGGAGGACATTTGCCAGCAGCTTGGCTGCGGTGAAGAGGAAGGCCACATGCACCCAGATCAAGCTACAGATGGTGAGTGGGGGTCCCTTCCCCTGTTGTTGTTATGTGCCATCAAGTCGGACCCGAATCATAGTGACCTCTCCTTGGGTTTCTGAGGCAGTATCACTACAGAAATAGATTGCCCCATCTTCCTTCCGAGGAGTGGCTGGTGGGTTTGAGCCTTCTGGTTAGCAGTCAAGTGCCTTAGCCACTATGCTACCACAGCTCCTATAGGGAGGGGTGGGTTATCTACCTGCATCCTCTCGAACCTTCCTAGTAACCCTTGGGGGACAGGTATCACCCTATGTTCCACAGAGGAGCAAAGACACTTGACCAGGGTCACACAACTGGGAAGTGATATGATCCAAGACCAAGACCAAAGCCTCAGCTACTTGATATTGAGAGGCTGCAAGATGTTGCCAAGAGCCATGAGTGTCGCCTTAACAAAGGTGGCAAATGTCACAGCTGGGCCAGCCTGCCTCCTTGCTCACTTACATGTGCACATTTTCACCATTAGGCTCCTGGGAAGAAGGCAGCAGAACCAGCACTGGGTGTGAATATGTTACCCTGACTGGAAACACAGGGATCCCCTAATCCATGAGGCACTTGGATTTGTTGAGGGTCAAGCTGAGCTCAGAAGAGCTGGACATGGAAGAGTTAGCTTAAAAAAAAAAAAAAATTGGCAACATCTTATAGAGGAAAAGTCCTCGTCTCGGGTCTAGCTCTATTACTAGGGCTTCAGCTAGTGGTCTGAGTGACCTGGGGCCAGCCACTTGCCCTCTCTGTGCCTCTGTTTCCCTATATGTTACAACAAATACTGTTATCGAGGCCCTCTATTTCCTATGAGTACAAAGCACGTGGGAGGTCCTTGGGGCAGGACAGTGGGGCCCCAGTGAGCCCAGGCCAGACTGAATGTATGTCTGGGGCATGTCCAGACCCCATCTGTCTCCCCCTAAGATGCTGGCCCTGGCCTCTCTCCTCTCCTAGGATGCACTGACCAGTGTGATCAAACGGTCCCAGTTGCACTTCATCCATTGCCTGGTGACGAACCCAGTGGTGGAGAGCAGGGGCAGGCAGGGGTCTCTGACCCCACCCCAGCCTGGGGAGGACCAGCCCAGAGAAGGTGGGCCCCTGGCCCCGGACATCCCGGCACTGAGGGTCCAGCTTGCAGGGTCCCACATCCTGGAGGCGCTGCGTCTGCACAGGGCAGGTAAGAGGCAGCAGAGAACAGAGAACCCACCTGCTTCTGCTTCTGGGCTCTGCCCACGTCCCAGGGGCTGGAGCACCAACCATGTGAGCTTTCCATGCAGTATCCTATTTACAATTCCCAGCAGCCCTGCGAGGGAGATGCTGCAATTATCCCCATTGTACAGAAAACAGGAGAAGCTCAGAGAGATGAAAGGACTTGTTCAAGGTCACATAGCTGGGACAAGGCAGAGCCTGGATTTGGACCCACCTGTCTTTGAGTCCAAAGCCCATATTATTTCCTGTGTGAATTGTACATCTTAGAAGTCTAGATCTATGTCTTTTTCATCTTCCTTTCAATACAACATCTGAGCACCATCTACCTTTGGGTACCTGTTGCCATCAAGTCAGATCCAACTCACAGCAACCCCATAGGTTACAGAGTGGAACTGCTTCATAGAGTTTTCTTGGCTGCAGTCTTTCACGGAAAGCAGATAGCCATGCCTTTCTTCCATAGTGCCACGGGGTGGATTCAAACCACCAACCTTTAGGTTCATAGTTGAGCACAGGCCATTTTCACCACCCAGAGGTAGAAAATGGGATTTCCAAAATGAGCAGCATTTTAGCCTTCAAGTGGTCACTATGATGTGGCCAGTACATATGTCACCCAGGGATGCTGGGGGTACCTGGCTACATAAAGAAGGGATCTGCATATTCATTGGGGAAATTGGGAAAACCACCTAGAGGAGGTAGCATCTTAATTGGGTCTTGAAATGGAGGAAGCAGCTTACTCCTGGGAGGTAGGGAAGATGGACTGCTAGGCAGAGCTAGGGTCAGCTTGTGCAAAGGCCAGGTGTGAGACATTAGGGGCCAGATGTTTCCAGGTAATGAGGTTCAACGTGAGTGGGGAGTTGTGGGTGATGCAGCTGGAGAACCCAACAAGGAGGAGTGTGAATGCTGCCTTTGGGAATTTGGCTTTCCCCTGGTCTAGCTGGGGAGCTGATGGAGTGGCCGAGAAACAAAACCTAAAAGCCACTGCTGTAGAGTCAATTCCGACTCATGGTGACCCCATGTGGGTCGGAGGAGAACTGTGCTCTGTAGGATTTTCAGTGGCTGATTTTTCAGAAGCAGATTGCCAGGCCTTTCTTCCGAGCTGCCTGTGGGTGAATTTGAACCGCCAACCTCTTGGTTAGCAGCCGAGCACTTGACTGTTTGAGCTATCTGGCGATTCCTTCATGGGGGGATAAAGGAGTTTTTTTTTTTTTTTTCCCCACATATAATACTCACGATTATGAGGTTTATTAGGGAAGTAACAGGTTACAATTCACTTCAGGAATGCACTCAGAATACAGTTCTTCAATCGGGACAGCCTCCCCTCTGCTATGCCCTCAGGCATACCTCTCTGGCCCTTGGCTTCTGGGCCTGGCCTCTGTCCTGCTCCGGCAAGGGTTACCAAGCTCTTCTAGCACTGGTGATAGGTATACCTATGTGCACCCCGCTCCACCAGCAAGCCTCCTGCCCGGGCCACTCAGCTTTCTTGCTCTGTGGGCTGGCAAGTCTGCTGCTCTGTCTCATGCCTCTTGGTTCCACTGCTGCCATCTCTCAGCTGTTGTCTCTGCCGGGGCATCTCTGCCAGGGAGGTCCAGTGCAGGGATCTCAGGCCCAAGAAGTCCATCTCTTCCTATTCTCTCTCTTTTTTATTTTAAGAGCTTGTTTTACATTCAACGTTATGTCTACATTTAGTTTCATTCCCCATTTACCATGCCCAACCCTAACCAAGTCTCCTCCCCTCCCTACCCAGTAACCCTCCCCGTGTGCCCCTCATATTTATGCACTCCTGTTTGTCCTGCATTTCCTCAATTTGAATGTTGGTCCTCTGGTGTCCCATGGTCTATTGCTCTAAGGGATGTATTACCATAGAGTATGTGGGTGCGGGGGATAAAGGAGTTTAGTCAAAGGAATGAGGCTTCAGGGCTGCATTTCAGAAGCAAGCATGCACCTGAGGTTTGCACCATGAGCTCATCTTATGAGTTGAGTTTGATCTTAATTCTTCCCATTCTTTTCTGCCACTCAGTCCCCAGGGACTGACACATCAATATCTGCTCCCTGACAGTTTAGAAAGAGCACAGGCACACCCAGCCATTCTCTCTGCAGGGGGTGGTGTGTGCTGGGGCTGGCGGCCATCTCAGGTGGGCACCTGCTTGTTTAATGTCTCTGTGGTGACTGGCACCCCAGCCTGTGGTCACCGTCCCTGTCTCCTCCCATCCCATTAACAATGGAAAGCCGGGGCTTGAGGTACCTAACAGGGAGCAGCTGGAAGCCAAGATGAGACCCTCTCCCAAGCATCTCATTGATTTTCTTTCCCGCCTACACTGCTGCAGACCCAGGGAGACAGGTAATGTCACAGCAGTGGCTCACTACCCCTCCCCCCACCCCAGCGCATCGATCCTGGCTGGCGGGTGGGAAGCTCTGGGCCTTTGCAGCACCCTGAACCACTCCTGGACTGTGAGAGCCACCGGGTGCCTGCTCAGATCAGGGTGTCCTTTTGCTAGGGCCACCTGTCCTCATGGCAGTGCTGGTCCCCTCTGTTCTCAGCGTGGCCTAGCTTGGCCAGGACAAGCTTCCCAACTAAGTGAAGGGTGATACCTCCAAGGTTGAACTTGCCCATTTCTGCCTCCCAGGCCTGGTTCAGTGCCTGCCTTTTCTGCTCCAAGTCTTTTCTGTCTCTCTTGTACACATATAAGATATTTACATGCACACATAGAAACATACACATGAGTTCAATATTTAATATTTTAAATACATGCACATATAATGTGTGTGTGTGTGTGTCTGTGTCTGTGTATACCATAAGGAGCCCTGGTGGTGCAATGGTTAAGCATTCAGCTGCTAAATGGAAGTTTGGCACTTTGAACCCACCAGCTCCGTGGGAGAAAGCTGGCAATCTGGTTCATAAAGGTTACAGCCTAGAAAACCCTATGGGACAGTTCTATTCTGTCACAGGGGTTGCTATGGGTTGGACATTGACTTGGCATGCAACAACAACAAATATATACAATATACACACAATACATATATGTGTTAGGCACTGTGTAGTTCTGTATCCTAGATGAGGTTGTTCACACCAAGCCCTTGGCAGTTAGCACAGTGCCTGGCATATAGTAATGCTCATTAAACATCATCACTTATCACATAGCCAAGGAGAGCTGGTGGTGCTGTGATTAAAGCATGGGACTGCTAACCAAAAGGTCACCAGCCACTCCATGGAAGAAAGATGAGGCAGTCTGCTTCTGTAAAGATTTACAGCCTTGGAAACCCTATGGGGCAGCTCTACTCTGTCCAGTAGGGTCACTATGAGTTGGAATTGACTCGATGGCAGTGAGTTTGGGTTTTGGTTGATTGTATAGCCTGGAGCAAGATGGCCTCGGCTTGACTCCACACCTCTCACCAGCTGTGCAACCCCAGGCAAGCTCTGGATTGTGCCTGCCTCTCACAGAGTCATTGAGAGGGTGGGATGGGTTCATAAGTCAGTAATACTAGGAAGAGTGCCTGCACCCAGGAAAGCTCTCAGTACACATTAGACACTTTTGCTATAATCATCAATATAGTTGTGATGGTGTAAGGATGAATCTTATTCTTCTCTGTTGACATAAAAAAAGTTGAATCTCAAGGAGACCGAGGCCATTTGTCCATGGTCATGGGGCTTAAGGGATAAAAATGGGACACAAACCCAGATTAAGTCTGAGCCCGAAGTGTAGCCTTGTTACCTTTGTCACCTCCAAGCTCCTCTGTCATTGTGTTGATAGCATCCTTTGAACCTGAATTGAGACCTTCCTCTTCCCCCAGGAAGGCTTCCTGGATTAACCATATAATGTACACTCACCCTCACTCTTCCTTATGGCTTCTGCATTTGGCTTTATCATCAAGTGAAGTCTCAAAAGTACAGTGAGATTTCACCAGACTCTTCTCCCATCCAGCCACTGGATGGGGCTTTCTGAGACAACCGAGGCTCTACCCTACCCCAAAATCCAAGATGAAGTTCAAACGCTGAGGCCTGCATTTGAGTTCCTTTGGGACCCAGGCCCTGCTGACCTTGGTGTCCTCCCCTTTGGCTCCTTTCCATTGGATTATTAATTGCCACTGTCATGGGTTGTATCCTAGCTGGGACAGTTAATGCTCTGTGTGACACTGGGCTGGGTGGCTTCACCTCTCCATCTGTAAGATGTGGATAGAATGTCTCAGAGTGTCTGTCTCACAGGGAAGTTGTACACATGGTAAGCACTCGGTGTGTGCTGGCTATTGCTCTGGCTATGGTACCAACCGTATGTTCCTCAACTCTGGGTCTTAAGGTCTTATCTATGCAGAAAGCTCTGCCAGGACCTCCCTTCTGCAACACTCATGTCTTCTTCAAAGGTCGGCTCCAATGGCCCCATCTCTGTAGCTCTTCCAGATGCCCCTTCTCTTTCCAGTTCCCCACACAGAAATATGCAGCTGATTCTATCATACGTATCAGACCTAAGAGAGACTTTGTTGTTGTTGGGTCCCAAAGGAATCTTGAGTCAGCTCCAACTTGTGATGACGCTGTGTACAGTGGAATCAGATCATGGTGCCCCATAGGATTTCCACTGGCTGATTTTTGGAAGTAGATCTCCAGACCTTTCTTCCTAGTGCATCTTAGTCTGGAAGCTCTGCTGAAACTTGTTCAGCATCATAGCAACAAGCGAGGCTCCAATGACAGATGGGTGGTGGCTGTGGTTAAGATGCATTGAATGGGCATTGGACCTGCGTCTACCATGGGAAAGGCAAGCATTCTACCACTGAACCAATTAGATACAATCCAGTGCAGCAATTCCCAGGTACAGTCTGTGAAGCTTGTAATAAGTATTAAAACAAAAGCCAAACTCACTGCCATCGAGTTGATTCCGATTCATATTGACCCCCGATGGGTTTCTGAGGTGGTAAATCTTTATGGAAGTAGATTGCCCCTTCTTCCTTCTGCAGAGTGGTTGGTGGGTTTGAGCTGCCAACCTTCATGTTAGCAGTCAAATGCCTTAGGCACTGTACCATCGGAACTCCTTGTAATAAGTATTAGACCAAAAGAAAAAAAAAAAGAAAAAGCAGCAGCTCCCATAGTCAAACGGGTCTGGAAAACTGTATTAACAGGACTAATCCAGTGCCTTTCTGTAGGAATTCTCAGAGCTCTGAGTGCTGATGCCAACATGTTTTGTGGCCTTCCAAGAGACATGATTTTTCAAACTTCAGAGGAGGATCTTATAGGGCTTGTGTCCTGGGGCACATATTTGGGAAATGATTGAAGTTAGTTTCTTAAGTTAGCAAATAGGAAAAGTAAGGCCTCAAGAGGTAAGTCCCTTCAAAAAGTTAGCAGCAAAGCAGGGAATAGGACCCAGAGTCCTTGCCTGCTGCCCAGGGCCCTGGGCTGGGTCTTCTTAGTGAGCTCTTTTTTCCTTTCCTGCCCACTCTCACCTCCCAGGTTACGCTGACCACATGGGCCTCACTCAGTTCCGCCGGCGATTCCAAGTTCTGGACCCTCCACTCATGAAGACACTCATGTCGACCTCTGAGGGAATAGATGAGAGGAAGGTATGTGGAGCCGGGCCCAGGAGAGGGTGGGGATCCTGGCTTATTGGACCCAATGATCTGTGGCCCACAGAGGATTTTCCCAGGGGGCAGCTAGACCATGGGAATCTGAGAGCCAGGCCTTGGAGGCAGTGCTGAGAGTGGTATGAAGTTTGGTCCAGAACCCTACAGAAATGCACCTCCCCGGAATATCACTCAGGACGCTCCCAATCCCAGAAAAGTGCTTCTGAAAACTTGCATGAAGAAGTGGAGGAAAAACATAAAAACAGAGGGATGAGAAGAGTATGGCCTAGCCAGAAGGGCCCTAGCAAGATGCAAAGCTGTCATTTCCAAAGCATGTTCCACTCGGTACCAGCACCCAGAGGTGGTCTATAAGAGGACCATCCTTGGTCCAAAATGTTTGGAAGTGTTTCACACTGGGCCCCTTCTTGGAGAATGACAATGAACATGTCCTCTTGGGGCCTTTGCACTCTGCGTCCCCTCTGCCTGGAACGTGCTTTCCCCTACTCTTCATCTTGCTATTCGGAGCCCAGCTCAACTGTTATTCTCTATGACACCATTGTTTCAAGTAGCACCTATGCGGAATTATTTCCATCTGGAATTACTTAGATGCCTGATAGTCATAGTAAGGAGCTCTGGTGGTGTAGTGGGTAAGACATTGGCTGCTAACCAGAAGATTGGTGGTTCAAACACACCGGCTGCTTTGTGGGAAGAAGACAAGGCAATGTACTTCCATAAAGATTTACAGCCTTGGAAATCCAATGGGGATTGCTATGAGTCAGAATCCACTCAATTTCAGTGGGTTTGGTAAGGAAGACTGGGCAACCTACTTCCGTAGCAATACTGCCTCAGAAACCCAAGGAGGGGTCACTATGAGTTGGGACAGGCTCGACAGCAGTGTGTTTGGTTTTTTTTTTTTTTTTTTTTGGTTTTTATAGGTGTGCAGGATCCTAGTAAGTGCTCAATCAAGTTTTGTTGAATGAATGAATGAATTCTCATACCTAACCTGTATTTCTGCTCATATATCTCCTTCAACTCTACTGTAAGCTCCAGGAGGACTGGAACCATGTCTTTACCCTTAGGGCCAAACCGTCCTTAATGTTTCATTTGAAAATGGTCAGGGGCTTATCAACAACTACAGAGCTCATTGGATTTTGCAAAGCCCCATTGCATCCTCACGATCACTTGCAAAATGAGGGCTATTGTATCCCTTTTACAAATGAGAAAATGAACCCTCCTGCAAATGAAGTGAGTTCCCTGGAGCCACATAGGCAGACAATCATGGAGGTGACCATTAGTGGCAATAGTCCCCCACCCCTGTCAAATAGACCTGAATTTGACTCCCAGCTGGAGCTGGTCTACTTAATTAAGCAAGGTGTTTGACTTTTCAGCCTCTGCCTCCTCATCTGTAAAGTAGGAACAACAGTAATGCCCACTTCAGTGATGTGTTTTGAGGATTACATGTAATAATATAGGCCCTGCTCTCTGGCACAGAGCCTGACACATACTAAGGGCTCAGTGTATATTTACTGCTATCATCTTCATCATCAGCATCACGATCAATATCAGATTCAGCACGAGCATCATCTTTCAAGTCTAGGGTAATGGCAACAAGCCACCCAGGCTCTATATTCACAACCATGTTGAAAGTTCACCTCCAGGTGAGTGCATCTGAGATCACCAGCACTGTAATCCTCACACAGTGAGCCACAGGCTAGAAGAATAAACAGAATCACAATTCTTAGGTCCCGCCTTTGCTCTTCTCTGCAGTGGGGATCAGGACTCCAGCCACTTTGCTGCAGACATGGCCCTCCTGACCCACCCACTGTGGGGAGGATGCATCCAATAGAGCTGGGGTGATACAGGGCGACCCTCTCTCTGGGTTCCTTATTTTGGAAGCCATGGGAACTGTGTGTGGCAGGCTTGATGCTACATTTTCATTTGGGGTTCTTTATCCTCGGTCCCCTAAACTTGATCACTCTTCTGAGGGCCTGGGACAGAGACACAGAAAGAGTTCAGGCTCCTTTGCAGCTGACAACAGCGCCGGAGCGTGGTGTGGGGGAGTTTCCTGCGGGGGCAATGGGTGCAGCATATGGCATCCTTTCTATTCTGGACAGTTCAGCAGTTCTCTGCTGTAACCAAACCGAAACCACCTCCATACACACTCGAGACCTCGAAAAATGGAAAATTACAAGTGGAATGGACTTGGTTGGGGCTGTTTGCCGCTTCTTATTCTTTTTCTTTATCTGCTCACAAATTTCATTTGCTGCAGCATAGGATTTTGGTAGCAATGAAAGGCAACGCCATCCTGCCTCTTATGAAAAAAAAAAAAAGCTGATAAATATTCATTTGCCAGGCAACATGATATGCTATGAATTATACATGAGCACGTGCTTGGATGGGCAAACTATCAGCCTCTGTGTGCAAAGCAGTTAAGACCTCAGGATTTAATAAGACAAGTCTGACAGCTAGAAAAGGTCAATATCGCTGTAGACACTAGACGGCGGCAGAGGCAACTCACTGTCAGGGTACAAAGCGGGCCTCAGTGAACTCCCCTGTGTGACCAATACGTGGCATCTAAACCTAGGCTTTTTTATGCAAAGACTCTTTCCTAGTGAAATGTTCTGATTAGGTGGGGTACCTGCTGGATATTTTTTGTTCCAGAAACAAAAATAGCACATGCCCTTTAGCGCATGTGCACAAACTCCCATCCCAATGTAGCATGCACAACATAAAGAGGTTATAGAGGCTCGACCTCAGACAGTCCTCAAAAGATAGGGCCTTGTCCCCATTTTACAGCTGAGGCAGCTGAGGCTGGGGCCACCCAGCCAGGAAGTGATGTTCCTCAGGCTCCCAGATGCCCATGAGGGAACGGGTCCCTTTGAATGGAAACCCTTTGAAGGCAGACAGAGTGTTCAGTGCAGTTCTGTATAGGAGGTGCCTTCTATGAATGGTAATTAAAAAAACAAACATGACTGATTTCATCCAACTTTAACTACATTCCTGCTAGGCACCAGGCCCTCTGTTAGGCACTGGAAATACGGGGATGAACAGAACATGGTCCCTTGTGGGAGAAAGACACCCAAACTACTTCCATACAGAGTGAGGGCTTTGGGATGCCCCAGGAGGGGATTCTAGGATGTTTGATGTTTGCATTGGGATTGAGAGTAGGATTCTTAGAGACAGCACCTCACAACAGGTGATACCTGAGTTGAAGGACAATTTGGAGGACTTGGCGAGGACACAGAGCACTGGGCATTCTCACGTTGGGCACAGCATGTGCAAAGACCCGGTGTCACAAGTGTGCATGGCTAGTTTAGTGTAGCTGGAGCATAAAGGATGCCAAGTGGCCAAAAAGGGCTGGAGGAAGCTGGCAAGGGCCAGACCATGGAGTCCTTGTTAGCCAGGTAAGGGAGTCTGGGCTCTATCATATATGCACTGATGGTGCACTGAAGGGTTTAAAGCAGGGCTGTGGTTTAAAGCTTTTGTTAGCCCCATCAGTTCCCTCTGCCCACTCCATGTTTTCTAGGGAGCAGTGTCCTCATGCTGACCTCTAACCTGCCCCCAGAGAAAGACTAGGTACATACACAGGCTTCCAAATGACTCTGTCTCCCCCTGCTACTCGTCTTGTGTCCCTTTCCTCTTGCCTTCCCAGGTTATCCCACTGGGCTAAGATCAGGCCTTAGCCTACACTAAAGTCCACCCAGATGTGACTACAATGGTGGAATCTCAGGCAACTGAGTGAGGGAGCGTCTTCGAGCCCACCGAGGCTACATCCCAGGCTCTGGTCCCTTCCATCTCTCTCCACTGTTAAGGCAGGAGTTGCTAAGTCTCCCTGATCGATGTGAGGAAATCCTTGGGCCCGCCCTTCTCCTCTCAGAGTGTCTGCAGTGTTGATTGATTTTAACCAACAAAATCTCTGTCTCTGGAGACTTGATCTGAAGAACACAATTGTTGTTGTTATGTGCCGTCGAGTCAGCCCCGACTCATAGCGACCCCTCCTTGGGTTTCCGAGGCAGTATCACTACGGAAGTAGGATTGCCCA